CTGCTTGGCCTGCCGTGTTCATCCAACTCTACACCTTGTTATCTCAGATTCTCCAGCATCTGCAGTTCCTACTATCTCTAACCAATGTACTGTACAGCCGCAACTTGACAATACAACTCCTACACTCATTGCACTGACCAATGAAGGCAAGCATGCTAAGCGCTTTCTTCACCAACCTGGCTACCTGAGATTCCACTTTCAAGGAACTATGCATCTGTATCCCTAGGTCCCTTGGTTCGGCAACACTCCCCAGGGTCCTAGCTTTAACTATGTAAGCCCTGTCCTGATTTGCATTAGCAAAATGCAACCTCACATTTGTTATTCAGGAAAACACCCAAAATGAATTTCTGTATAAATGTGTCTGAGTGCATACCTTCACTGTCTTGATTTGTGGAGAGAAAAAACTCAAGAGTTGAGTTGAGTTCTGTAATCTTCTAAAACTTGAGTTCTGTAATCTTCCTACCTCTTTAATAATTGAATATCGTTTTGAAGTAGGGAATGTATAGTTTGAGCTTATAGTACCCAAACTCTGGTGCAAACAAACCAGCCTGTATCAGAGCCAGTCTCCAGCCTGGATAAATGGGGTGGGTTGGGGACAAGAAGGACACCCTGCTGTGAAACCACCTACCAAATTCAAAAGAAATGATGGTTGACATTACGATCAGCATGTGGCATCTCCATGTAGCATGGGGAAAGTAAAAGGGAAATGAAAGAAGGAAACTTAATGTGAGTTTATAGAAGATGTATTTGATGGAGCGAGATTTGCCCATCTTAATGATGCCTTGCCAAATGGGATAATGGCTTAAAAAAAATCACACTGTTTTGTTGTTTCTGAAGCAACTGACCCTTCTAGGTTACAATCCTTGTGCAGTACTGTTTTAAGTCATTAAATAAAAATAGGTTTACAATTGGCCTTAAGTCTTTATCAAGATCTTAGCTCAATGATTCTTGCCTCTGAGTCATAAGATTGTCGGTTCAAGTCCTATTCCCAACCTGCTAAATCCAGGTTGTCGCTCTACTGTGAGAGGAAAGTGCTACATTATCGGAGGTGTTATTCTTTAGGTGAGGCAGAAACTGAGGGCACTTTGCCCTCTCAAGTGGACTCAACAAATCCCATTATATTTTTTGAAGATAGGTGGTGGAGCTCTCCGTGGTGCCTGGGGTAACATTATTGAAATAAATAAGATTCTTAGAGAGTTTGATAAGGTAGGTTTGGAGAGGTTGCTTCTCCATGTGAAAGAGTCTGGGGACCAGATGGCATCACCACTTGCAAGTAAGGAGTTTGGGGTTCGCCCATTTAAAACAGAGATGAGAAGGAATTTCATCTCCCAGAGGACAGTGAATCTGTGGAATTCTTTACTGCAGAGAGCTGGTGAGGTTGGGTCATGAATAATCACTAAGGGAGTTAAGAGGTTGGGTAAAAGCAGTAAAGTGGAATTCAGGACTATCAGGTGAGCCATGGTCTCATTGAATGACGGAGCAGACTTAATGGGCCATATGGCTGCCTTCTGTTCCAAGTCTTATGGTCTTATTCCTCAGTAATTTAGATTATCTGGTCATTTTCACATTGATGTTTGTTGGAGCTTGCTGTGCACAAAGTGCCTGCTGATTTTCCTACATTATAGAAGTGACCACAGCTTAAATGTACTTAATTGACTGTAAAGAGTACTAGGACATCCTGAGCTCTTGAAAGGTGATAAAGAAATGCAAGCCTTTTCTTTATGGAAAGTGAACTACTTTTCTCACTGTTTCTGCTGTAACAAAAGTTTCTGTTTAGATGATTGAAAAAGTCATGAACTACGCATGAAGAAGATAAATTCACAATTGCAGTGTTGTTCCTCACTGTATCAAAGTATTACTGGCTGGAGAAAGATATCAGGAGAAACATGAAGCTAAACTTTTTGTTTTAATAATCTGGATAAAATTTCCAAAATAGTAACCTGGAGGCAGTGCTCAGGGAAAGTAAACTTTTAAATTGTCAAAGGAATGAAAATGAAAAGGAAGTAAACTTTGTCTTAATAAAGGCTTATTTTCTTGCATTCAGTGCATTAGTGAGGTGTTTGTAAGTTTTTGCAAATATTAATTACTGCCCATTTTAAATGTGGATATTTTAAGTGTTGGAGTGTCTGTTTCCAATGTTGTAAATTATTTGTTTTGGTGTTTTTGTCTTTACAGTTGATTTACTCAATATTGGAAGGGCTGGTGCCTCTTCTGCAGAGGGTATAGCCCTGGCTTCTGATGAGGAGAAGTCAAAGAACCCAACCAATTCCTAATAAAGGCAAGTTGCAAGTGAAAAAGCCCATCACAGTCAACTATTGGAGCAATGAAAAGTACACCAGACACAGTAGGTGGAAATTATCTTGACAGCAAGAGTCTCCAGGAAGTCTCCTCTGAAAAACCCTGAGACATCAGTAAGAGGAGAAGCAAAGTGTCTCCTTCTGGATTCTGCAAAGCATTTCTCACAGTGAAGAGAGAAACTCAGGTCATTGACCCAAGCTCCCTTAATGAGTGGATCACTGAGTCATAAGGGAAATATTTGCATTTATATTGCACCTTTCACAATCTAAGGACATTGCAAAGTATTTTCCAGCCAATGTAGTACTTCTGAAGTGTTGCAACTGTTATGATAGGAAACATAGCAGCCAATTTGCCGTAGCAAGCTCCCATAAACAGCAAAGCAATAAGTTTTTAAAAATTCTACCATAAGATGTGGGCATCATTGGTAAGGTCATTGATTGTTGCCTATTGGTAACTGTTCTTGAGAATGTGGTGGTGAGCCACCATCTTGAACTGCTACAGTTCTTATGACGTAGGTCGACCCAAAATGCTGTTAGGAACCCTGTCCAGGATTTTACCCAATGACAATAAAGGAATGGTAATATTGTATCAAGTAATGATGGTGTGTGGTTTGGTTGGTGATGTTCCCATGCAACAGCTGCCCTTGTTTTTTCAGTTCATAAATTTGGAAGGTGTTATTGGTTACACTCCTTTGACAACTTTGCAGATGCAAGAGGAAGCTGATGGGGCAGTAACCTGGGCAAATTGAATTTGTCCTGATATTTGTGGTCCGGACAAACATTGGCAATGTTTAGCATTGTTAGGTGGATGAAAATGTTGTAGCTAAACCAGAACAGAACAGCTTGGCTTGGGGCATAGTTACTTTTGGAGGACTAGTCTTCAATAGAACCCAGAGCCTACGTAGTATCCAATTCCTTCAGCCATTTCTTGATATCATGAGGAATGAATCAAATTGGCTGAAGAATGGCATCTGTGATGCTAGGGATATCAGGAGGAGCCTGAGATGGATCATCCACTCACCATTCTGGCTGAAGATAAGCAAATGCTTCAGCCTTATTTCTTGCACTGATGAGATGTGTTCCTCCATTATTGAGGATAGCTATATTTATGGAGCCTTCTTCTCCTGTTAGTTGTTTAATTGTCTACTACCATTCACGACCGCATATGGCAGGACTTACAGAGCTTTTATCTAATCCATTGGTTGTGGGATCACTTATCACTGTCTATTACATGCTACTTCTGTTATTTTTAATGCAAGTAGTCCTGTTTTGTAGCTTCACCTGGTTATTTTTAGATATGCCTGGCATTATTTCTGGCATATCCTTCTGCACTCTTCATTGAACTAGGAGTCTTCCCTTGGCTTGTGATATTGCTGGGTCAAATAGAATTCTCCTGCTGCTGATGCCCCACAATGTCTCAAGGATTACTGGTTTTGAGCTGTTAGATCTATTCTGAATCTATCCAACTTATCACATTGGTAGGTCCACATAAAAGTATGGAGGGAATGCTTGGATAAAGACAGAAGACTTCATTTTCACAAAGACCATGCAGTGGCCACTCCTATCAATGCTGTCATGTACAGATGCATATGTGTCAGAGAAATTCGTGAGAATAAGGTCAGGCAGGTTTTACCATCTTGTTGGCTCCCTCAACATTTACTGCAGGCCCAGTCTGAAACATATGCCCTTCCGGAGTTAGCAAGCTCACTTGGTAATGTTGCTTATAAAGCACAGTTTGTGATGGACGTTGAAGTCCCCTACCTAGACTACACTCAAGTAAGTTTGTCTTCTTTGAAAAATGACGCAAAATCTTGAGAAGACAAATATGGCTCTGTTTAATAAAGATGATGCCTTCAACAGTCCAGATCCCCTCAGTACTGTTCAGGGGTTCTCAGCCTGAATCTTGTGGTCAATTCTCTGGAGTGGGCCTTGAATACAAATTTCTGACTCAGAGATTTGACTGCCAAACAAAACACTACACTGTAAGCCACAGCTGACAGCAGAGGGAGAAAAAGAGAGGGTTTGATATTGTCATTTAAAAAATCTTTATAAAACAAATCTTATTCATTCAAATGGGTTGAATCATTCTGTCTAATTGTTTCATTTTTGTCAAGGAGAACGAGTCATTTTAGATTGATGATACAGAATAACATTATTTACAGAATGTGTGGTAAGGTAGCATATTTGACAGTAAATGTGCAATATTGTGTAGCTGCAACAAAACAAGAAGCTCAACACTATCTAGGCTACTTGACTGGTGCCCCAAACCCATCACCATTTACTCCCTTCATCGCTGGCAAGATGCACTGCAGCAGTTCACCAAGGCTCCTTTGACATCTTTCAAACCTGTTACCATAAACACCTTGAAGGATAAGGGCAACAGATGCATAGGAATATCACCAACTGCAAGTTCGCCGTCCAAATCACACAACATCCTCAGTTAGAACTACATTCCATTACTTCATTGTCACAGGGTCACAATCCTGGAACTCCCTCCGTAACAGCATTCTGAGTCAATCTACAATGTGGACTGCAGCAGTTCAAGAAGGTAGCTCACCATCACCTCCTCAAACGACATCACATTAGTGAACTATTTTTAATACTTTGCCAATTAAAGTATGGTTTGAAAATTTACTATACCTGAATCTTTAAAAAATCTTTATCTGAAGGAAGTTTTCATGATGATTGAAGAGATGTATTAAATTTTCACTCTAATTTGCATTTAGTTTGTTGCATTTTGCATAATTTAGTATTTCTTTTCTTATTTACAAACTAGAGTACTGAATCTGTAAGAGTTTAGAAAAAATATTATAATATCCATTTCTGAGTTACATGAAATCTGTTGATGACAAAGTTTATATCTTGAATTTGAACTTGTATTTCTTCTGCGAATATTACACACTACTTGGCAGTGATACTGAGTTGAAGTGACAATCCAAGATCACTTACATTGAATAAGATTTTGGTTAATTTTTTAAGTTCATTTATTGTATGTTCATAACACAGCTGAACTGTTCTCTGAGAATATTTATGCTTCACATAAGCCTCTTCCTACCCTATGTCTTCTCACATTATCTGCATATCCCTCGGTTGTCTTCTCCCTCAGGAAGTTACCAGTTCCTCATTAAATGTATTTAAGCTCTTCTCAATTATTTCCTGTAATTTCACATTCCAAATTCTCACCACTCTCTGGATAAAGGTGTCTCTCTGAATTCTCTTTTGTATTTTTTGGTTATATCATTATATTCATGGTCCCCAAGTTCTGGTCTCCCTCACAAAAGGAAACATCTCCTCATGTATCCCATCACAATCCTTTGTGATTTTAAAGAAATAATTCAGACTTCTCCTCAACATGCTCTGCTCTCTAAAGAAATGAGGCCAATAATAGTGGTTCACATTCAAGGGATCATTCTCCGCCATTTCTGCTGCGCGCAGTATGCCGCTACCAAATATATTGTCCCTGCCCTCCCCTTTCAGCATTAAGAAGGAACCATTCCCACCATAACACCTTTGTCCACTCCCTTGACCCCACCCCAGTGCCATCCTCACCCGTCCCACAGTCCCTTTGCATGCAAATGCATGAAGTGCAATATCTGTTCAGTATCTCCTCTTTTCTGGTCATCCAAGATTTTGACACTCCTTCCAAGTGAGACAGTGACTGGTTTTTAACTCTCAGTGAAATATGCTGTTTTCACTGTTCATAATTTGATTTGGTTTATGTTCGGGAAAAAAATTGGCATCTCCCATTTGAAAATTTCTAGCATACGTAAAAGCATGGTGTCCTCTGGAATATGAAGACAGCAGGAGGCTATTCAATATGGAGCTGGAGGAACACAGCAGGTCAGGCAGCATCAGAGGAACAGGAAAGTCAATGTTTGGACCCTTCATCAGAACTGGGGAGGAGTAGGGAACTGGGAAATAAATAGAGGGAGAAGGGGTGGAGCTGGGGGAAGGTAAATGGGATGGTGATAGGTGGATGCAGGTAGGGGATAGTGGGGATTGGTCAATGGGAAGGATGGGGTGGATAGGTGGGGAGGAAGATGGACAGGTTGTGTCAGGTCAAGGAGGCGAAAGGGAGGATGGTTGGGGCTGGGGAAAGGTTGGTGGGATGGTGACCATCCCATCATACCTTCCCCCTGCCCTACCCCTCCTCCGTCTATTTATTTCCCAGCTCCCGTCCCCCTCCCCAGTTCTGATGAAGAGTCCCAACCCGAAATGTTGACTTTCCTGTTCCTCTGATGCTGCCTGACCTGCTGTGTTCCTCCAGGTTCATACTGTGTCGACTCTGATTCCAGCGTCTATAGTTCTTGCTATCTCAGGAGGCTATTCAGCCTCTTGGAGTAAACTGCACTTTTACTCTAATAATAGCTGCTGCACATGTGTGTAAAGATCTATGCCATAATGCCATCAAATCACATAGGACAGAGATCGGAATGTGTAGGGTTTCAGAGATGCTTTGTATTCTGTGTACAGTGTACATACTTAATCATTAATGTAATGTGCACGGGCTAGAGTGAGGATGATCTTGTATCAACAACCTTGGCACGATCTAATTACAAGCCTCTGGGACCCTCTCTGCCATTCAATCAGATTATGGCTAAACAGTATCTCAGCTCTATTTCCCATCTTTGCTCCATATCCCTGTTTATACTAACGTAACAAAAATCTGCTTCAGCTTTAGATGTTCCAACTGACTCCCCAACAGCAGACACAGCCTTTATAAGCTTAGAGTTTTACACTTCCATTACCCTTAATATCAAAATCTATTTCCTGATTTTGCTTCTAAATGAATGAGATTGAATTTTAAGATTGCATCCTTGACTTTTGTTCTGCTCTCCCTCCAACAACTCTCATTTGAATTAATAGTTCCAAAGGGGTTAAAGTTCTTGTTATACTGACTCCACCCATCCTACTGATAGCACACATGTCTGTGAGTGGAGACAGAGTTATACTTTAACTTTTAGATGGAACATATATATCTATACTAACTCCCGGAGGTCCTAATGATTATGCATGACCAAATGTAATTAATTAGACATGCTATCATGCCATAAAACATTCTTGTTGTTTTAAGAAGGGGGCCTTTTCTCTATGGTGGATACTCTATGCCATTATATCCTCTATCACTAATTACTCGACAGGCCCAAGACAAAGAAAGGACAAAAGAGGATTG